AGGTCTAAGGCAGAAGCAAGGGACACGAAATTCAGAGCTCTCACCACCAAAACTAGCATTTAGGAATATTTCCGTTTTTCTGTTAGCGAGCTGCGTCTCAATTAGGGTTTTCTAGTTCTTACGCTTTCGGCGATTCTTTTTGTACCAGTTCAACGCAGATTCGGAATAAGAACCTCTTTGCTCTCTATTTTCGTTTATTAACATATAAATTCTAAGTATTTTCGTCATCTTATTTTCGTTGTGCGGTTCTCGCAGATAGCTGGTTCCTCTGGAAACTTAGGGTTTTCCCGAAGTTTCCTTATTTACGATTTATTTGACAGTAGGGTGAAATCGACTCCCACATATATGCTGTGTACAAAGATAAATTTGGTGCCCCTGGGAAGGGTCCAGCTCCTAGAGAATTACAAAAACTATTGCTAGAGGATCTTAGGGTGTCTGCATCCTACATGAAGTGTTATTGTGCGAAGGAGAAGGCTGTTGTGGGTATTTTTGGATCAGATGAAAATTCTTATTTGAAGTTGCCTGAGTATCTCCACATGTTGAAGCTTACAAATCCCGGGACGGTGGCTGATATAAAAACGGAAACTGATGAGGATGGAGATGAAAGCTTCCTGTATTTATTTCTAGCCTTCAGGGCTTCCATAGCGGGTTTCAGAAAGCTCCGTCTGGTGCTGGTGATTGATGGTACGCACCTAGGCTTGATATCATATCAGACCGGGAAACTTGTATTGCTACAGCTGTAAAACGTGTTTATCCTCGAGCTCAGCATGGTTATTGTGTTGTTCATTTAGCTAGAAATGTCAACTCACGCTACTCAAGCAAAAACTTCGCGAAAACTGTGGTTGCGTGCGCAACAGCCTATAGACTGGCTACATACAAGGAACAATATGCAAAGATCAGAGCGACAAACAGTGCTTGCGGGGTGTATTTAGGAGAAATAGGAGTTGCGCATTGGACAAGGCCCGATTTCCCTGCGGACATGTACAACATAATGACCAGCATTATAGCTGCGAAGCTGAACAAAGCTCTTATGGAGGGGAGGACATCACCTATAATGGAGTTGGTGATCTTCATATAGAGGATGATGACTCGCTGGTTTAGGGCTAGGAGAGGGAAAGCGGAGAAACATAGAGGACTTGTTAGTGTCTCGGTGGACAAGGAGCTAACCCAAAACATGTCAACTGTGAAGGGAAGCAAAATTAATTCTTCAACAGATTGGAGCTGTGAGATCATTAACAAGTTTGGACGTTCGGACCGTGTGCAGCTTGATGATAAGCAGTGCAGCTGCAAGTACTTTGACAAAAATAAAAATTTCATGCGGTTATTGCAGCTGATCATTTAGGAGTGCCTTATGATACTTTGGTGGGACACTGGTACAAGACCACAACGTGGAGAGAGACTTATGCGGGGGTCATATATCCCCACGGTGATGCACATGATGTTGAAATAGCTGAAGACGTACAAAAGATGGTGTTGTTGCCTCCAACAACCAAGAGACTAGCTGAGAGGCGTCGTAAGAATCGAATTCCTTTGACTGGTGAATTTCCGGTGAGTGTTCTATCTCCTAAAATTGTGGATGACCCCAAGATAATCCACGGAATTTTAGACATGTTTTGTTGATGCAGGTGGTGGCTAGGAAGAAGAAAGAGATACAAAATAAATGTGGCAGGTGCCGTGTTGAGGGGCACAACCACACGAGGTGCATTGCTCCAATATAGAAAAATGGCTAACTGTTAGGAGAAGATTTTTTTGGGGAGGATGAGAGAACTTCTTAACGGTGGACTGTTTTTGGATTATGTCTTAAAATCGGATCATGTTTGTTTTCCCAGTAATCTTGCGGATTCACTTGAAGACACATAGTGATATATGTCTACATCAGTAGAGCTTGAAACTTGTTTTTGGTTTTGTAATTGCAGAACATGTTTGGTTTTGTAATTGCAGAAAATATTTTGTAATTGCAGCATCTTAATTATATGCATCTCTGGATTGGGTAAAAACTTGTGTACGTGTGGTAGTACAAAAGTTTCAATGTTGTTTGTGTCATTTTTGTGTTGTCACACACGATATTCAATTTATGTTGGTGTATTTCTTTGGTGAAATGAAACATCTGGTGACTTTGTATGAAAAAAGGAGATGTTAAGACAACACCTTCTAGATTGATAAGTCAGAAAAGTCAGACAAAGTGAAGGCTTAGCTATGCCGATACAATGGGATTTGGTTTGGTAAAACCAGGTCATATGAAACTATTAAATCTGAAGCTAAAGAAAATAGAGACAAGTTCATAGAGCATAAGATGAAACAATGCCTAGAGATGAACATGGAAACATGATATAAGGACATGAAAGCTGTCCTCTCTCAAGCTAGTTTAAAATAAAACCATGCCACAGCTCCAAGTACTGCAATGGTAACAGCAATGTTCTGCAGCGGGCCAGTGTGTGAAGGTGACGTTGGGGGGGGGGGTGAGCAGAATGGGTTGTGCGTCGAGTCGGTCCGAGTTCTTTATGTTTTCCGCCTCCATCTTCACATCGAATTCTTATGATAACTTTAGGAGTTTGTAGTCTAGTTCTAGTTTCATCTCTTCCAGACGAGCTTCCTGACCAACTAGCTGCTCCGTAAAACTTTTGGAGAGTGTTTGAACATCGTGGAGAAGATCAAGACGCTTCGCATCGACCATCCTAGTTTCGTCCAGCAAAGCCTCCTCTTCCCATTTAAGCAAATGGTGCTCTGTTTCCATTTGCTTACAAGGAAAATTAGAAGCCAACATCTTGGCATATTGAAAAAACTAGAGTTATCATGAAAGTAATTAGAAGCAGCAGACCTGGGAACCAATGACGCAACGGTAGAATCTCTCGTAAGGGTTCTCTTTTTTTTTTGGAGACGAAAGTCGTGATGTTTCTACCGCACCAACATCGGCTGGGAACACCGTACACACCGCGGCGGTTCACAGTTATGGAGGAGGAGGAACTCATAATTATCAAGAGGAGGTTCTGTGATTTGTTTTTTGTTGAAACCCTAATTGGCATCTGATTGAGAAAGTTGTTTTGTCTCTGTTTTTCAAGGTGGAAGAGTCGTAAATCTGTCTTTTGGGGCGATAACCGGTACATAAATTTCATTAGTCAAAATTGGTTTGGTTGGTTGAGCTTAACCTCGTGCTAGTTGTTGACGTGGATAGTAGTGCGAATACGATAATGTACTTTTTTGAAAGTAGAATGCTTCGTGTGTTAGTTGTGCTCATGGATGGTTGAGCATACACAAACATCTGAGTAGAATAGGCAGAGTTAAAATATATCACATTCCCACAAGTGTTCTGTCGAACAAAAAGCAAAAGAAGCCAAAAGTTAGGCGTACATATGACTAACAGTCAAGTTTGAGTACAATAACATTGGGGTGAAAATGGTTTGGCTATCCTAAACAGCCAAACAAACTCTGATTGAGATCCTAGATCCAAGAAGAAAAAACAAATTACACATCGCTGGAACTTCCAACTAAGGCTTGGGTGGAGAGTAGTATGTAGGCATCACGAGGATCTTGTAAGGATCCAGAACGTAGTGCTTGCGGAACACGTCAACTAACCTGTCTGTGATGCCTGACATGCACGGTACAAGATCACAATGTGCATGCATTTCCATGAATTTGACGCTGACTGGTCCACAGTCGCCTGACCTTTCATTAATGTAGATGTCTTTGATTCGGATCCATGTGAACGGCTCTAATTTCTGGAACTGAGTCAGCTCGTACTTGGCAACCTTCTTAACAAGGTAAGGGAGGGACTTAAGAACTGGATTCATGTACCTCTCAACTTTTCTATCGCTGCTCAGTGTAGGCAATGGGTCTAATATCTCAACTAGCCCCAAGTCAAGGTTGATTGCAAGACCTACCCAATGTCTGTTGTCCCAAATCATGGGTGTGTATACTGTAGTCACATCTTCCATCCATTTTTTTGCCTGGCTCGAGAACAATTGATGAAATCTGTCTGTCCCAATCTAATGTTGCTTTCTTACTTGACCTGCTGAACTTTGGATACATCTGCTGAATGCCAGATGTAAGAAATGGAGACGTGAAATAGAGTTTCTGACTTTGGAGGAGCTCTGCGTGCCTTTCAGGTAACATGTGCATGAGCATACACATGTGCTGCAGAAGACAAAAAGACGTTAGTAACTAGCTTTACTGGATAAGGGGTAAGCAAGTTGCGTGATTACAATTTGTCTATAATGCTTACATATGTTTGAGTCCATTCCTGAGGCACAACTAATTCGAGGAGAAACTTGTTAGAGAAAGCGAAGTTGGTGGGTGTGATATGAAACATGTGAGATATTTATCCACACATGAGGGAGGAGGCATCCACAAATGAATTTGAGATAAAGGAAACTTACGCATCCCCGAACTTTGATATTGATCTCTCGAAAAGATCCCATTGTATATGAGGGAAGGACAAATAAGAGCAGGCGCTGGGATTGTTGGACATCGAAATAGTTCCTTCGCAACGTAGTTTTCTTCCATGCATGGCAAGTGACTGGGAGCCCGCCTTGCTGGAGAGCCGTTGCTAAGCTCCACAACCTCTTCGGAAACCGTTGGTTGTGCCTACAACAATACATAGTGTCAAACCAGGTACGTTAATGGATAAGTACATTTATGAATGTAGATTAGTTACATGGTTGTTGAGCTAAGACGGACCTGTACATTAGGGACCGTAAATGTAGATGTCATGTCCCCGATCCTGAGTATGATCGTCTGGACAGACCATGGAGCGAGGAGACGCGTCAGTAAGGTCACGAAACCTAAAGACAAGTTTATCATGGTCCAGAAACGTGGTTAAGTACATCACGGAGCTGATACTTATCCAAATAAGGAAAGAAAGGGAATAAAAGGAGCTACACAAGTTAAAGGGTAGCTGGATGAGGTGTAGAGACATGTCGACCTAGCTCAGGGGAGCTCGAGGAAGCTCAGCCCAGCTCGGTCTACCTACACACTCATTGATCAGCTCACATAGCTGAAGTGTCATGTTTCCGTTCCTGAAACTTGACGTAAGGCCAAGACGTTCAACAGAAACCAGACTGCTTTGGTTCATATCATGAGAATTGATCATGAACAAGTTGTGATGAAGTGAATGATCAGAATAGATCATGGTAAAGCTTAGCCTTGGTCAAGGAATGGACCAAAGGACTTAAACAGAGAATAATATGAAGATAAGCAAACTAGACGAGTAATACAGCAGCTTGGTGAAGTGTTCGGGAAGCTCAATCGGCTGAACGGGGTAAGAATCAGCTCTGGCGGGCTCACACTGAGTAGAGTCAGCTCCCTGAGCTGGACTACTAGCTCACTCAGCTGGACCAGCTGAGGATCAGCTCATCTTAGCTGAACTGAGTGTTTGGGTTTTGGGCCGTTGGGTCAAGTCTGGGCAGTTACCGGGCCGGTTGGTTGGCCAGGTCTGGCTATGGGCCGATGGGCTGTTGTGGTCGGGCCATGGGCTTAGTTAACTAGTTTGGGCTTGGGTCTGATATGTCTAGAAGGGGATGGACGTGCCTAGATATGTCTGGACACTTCCAAGATCCAATAGATGCGATCTGGACCGTTGATTGTAATCGATGGCCAAGATCTGGTCTGAAAAGATGCTTGGAAGAGATGTGTCCTTTTGGACATGGCCTTTGGTTTCCTATATATAGGAGGGCCGACCAGAGATCAAAGAATTCAGTCTTAGACAATGGACACACGTCCTAAAGAGATCCCCCAATGATAAAGGAGGATCCATAGGGATGCCACCAAAGGGTGCCATCTAGGGATGCCACCAAAGGGTGCCATCTAGGGATGCCACCAAAGGGTGCCATCTAGGGATGCCAGCAAAGAGTACCATCTAGGGATGTCACCAAAGGGTGCCATCTGGGGATGCCACCAAAGGGTGCCATCTGGAGATGCCACCAAAGGGTGCCATCAAGGGATGCCACCAAATGGTGCCATTGTGGGAGTCGATTTCACCCTACTGTCAAATAAATCGTAAATAAGGAAACTTCGGGAAAACCCTAAGTTTCCAGAGGAACCGGCTATCTGCGAGAACCGCACAACAAAGATTAAGATGACTAAAACACTTAGAATAAAAACGAAAATAAGAGAGGTTTGAAAGCAAGAAGGTTCTTATTCCGAATCTGCGTTGAACNAGGAACCGGCTATCTGCGAGAACCGCACAACAAAGATTAAGATGACTAAAACACTTAGAATAAAAACGAAAATAAGAGAGGTTTGAAAGCAAGAAGGTTCTTATTCCGAATCTGCGTTGAACTGGTTACAAGAAGAGTAGCCGTAAACGTAAGAACTTAGAAAACCCTAATTGAGACGCAGCTCGCTAACAGAAAAACGAAAATATTCCTAAATGCTAGTTTTGGTGGTGAGAGCTCTGAATTTCGTCTGTATGCTTCTACCCTAGACCTCCTCTTTATATACTCCTCATCTTGGCTATCCGATCTTTCCATTTCGCCCAGATTTGACTTAAATCGGGAACTTTCCATTCTTCTCGATCCTTCCTTTTCTTCTGCGGAAATCTTCTATTTCTCTTCAAA